ACTATGTAATAATGCATGCGTAGACAGGTAGATGCTGGCGTGGGAACATGCAGCGCTGAGGACTACAGTATATCGTACGAAGCACATATAAGCCATCAGGAGCTTCCTGTCAATGGCGCAGTTCGATGACGACCCGGCCCGCCCGCCGCACCAGACCTACCTTCACAATATGGGCCAGGCACATCACTTGGTAGGGGTGAAGAGAGCGGTCGAGCCTGTCCGACAGCCAGGTGCACAGCAGCTGGATCTGCTGTGTGTACCATATCTGGAGCAGGACGGCAGCATTCACCGCCGGACCGAGCACACGGCGGACAGAGGCCTCACCACCGGACCGGACACACTACAGACAGAGGCCTCACCGCCGGACCGAACACACGGCAGACCGAGGCCTCACCGTCGGACAGAACATACGGCGGGCAGAGGCTTCACCGTCGGACCGATAATACGGCAGACAGAGGCCTCAACACCGGGCCGAGCACACGGCGGACAGAGGCCTCACCACCGGACCGGACACACTACAGACAGAGGCCTCACCGCCGGACTGAACACACGGCAGACCGAGACCTCACCGCCGGGCCAAACACACGGCAGACAGCAACCTCACAGCCGGACCGAACACACGGCGGACAGAGGCCTCAACGCCAGACCGAACACACGGCAGACCGAGACCTCACCGCCGGACCGAACACACGGCGGACAGAGACCTCAACGCCGGACCGAACACACGTTAGACCGAGACACAGAGGCCTCAACACCGGACTGAACATACGGCAGACCGAGACCTCACCGCCGGGCCAAACACACGGCAGGCAGCGGCCTCACAGCCGGACCGAACACACGGCGGACAGAGGCCCCACCACCGGACCGAACACACGGCGGACAGAGGCCTCACCGCCGGACTAAACACACGGCAGACCGAGACCTCACCGCCGGGCCAAACACACGACGGACAGAGGCCTCACCGCCGGACCGAACACACGGCGGACAGAGGCCTCAATGCCGGACCGAACACACGGCGGACAGAGGCCTCACCGCCGGACCGAACACACGGCGGACAGAGACCTCACCGCCGGACCGAACACACGGCGGACAGAGGCCTCACCGCCAGACTGAACACACGGCAGACCGAGACCTCACCGCCGGGCCAAACACACGGCAGACAGCGGCCTCACAGCCGGACTGAACACACGGCGGACAGAGGCCTCATCACCGGACGAACAGACGGCAGACAGAGGCCTCAACGCCGGATCGAACACACAGCAGACAGAGGCCTCACCACCTCACCAGATGCCTCAGCTGCCGGCAGCGACATGGTGCATAACCACCCGCTCCACTTTGGAAAGCGAACTGGATTGAGAGAGGCGTGGGTTTCGTTGTAGGTGCATCGCATTACCACGTGATGACAATTTGCACAGCACTTTAACCTTTGTTGTGATTGATATCAACGTGTTTCATGTCGATGTATGCTAGTATCGTCCACACAGGATGCATCCATTTCCAAACTGGCTGTGTCCCCAACGTAATATCTAAAGTGGATGACATGAGCATACAACATACAGGCAGTATGTGATACGTTGCAGCATCCAATGTGCAGTAACCAGGACAGAAGCCTGTGTTGTTTGACTGGCTAGCTGTCAGTGAATACCCAATACGACACCACACACACACACGCGCACACGCAAGAACACGCCGACGCAGACGTACCACACACACACACACACGCACACACACACACCACACACCACACACACACACAACACACACACACACACACACACACACACACACACACCAAACCACACACCACACGATATAGATATATATATATATATATATATATATATATATATATATATATATAAGCTCTTTATGATCAGACTGCACACATCGCTTTCGCCCTGGCCCAAACGCAATTCGGCATGGTCGTCACACGGAGCTGTAGCACGACCTGACCTTGCACCGGTATATGGGCCTCCAGCATAAACCCGCCCTGCACCCGATATGCTGACCTCCAACGTGACCTCAACCAGCTCCAATGCACTGACCTCGAAGACGTTGAGTATCCAGAGCTCGTCGCTGACCTTCTGCCGGATTTGGTCCATACAGTTTCGTGTGAAGGTCACGTAGGACTGGCCGAGGTCCCGGCCCGAGCCCGACACGTTCTGCTTGTACTGCCGGCCGGTCAGGTCAACATAACACACGGCTGTCCTCAGGCTCGCAGAACAACGGCCGGAGGTCACCAATCCGGCGCTGAGCGTGGACAATGGTCGGCAGGGAAGGATGGCCAGGGGTGGTGAGCGACAGTGCTCTGTCGTTGGTGTTACACAACACGATGGGCGGGGTGATGGAGATTTTGTGAGAGCCTTGGAGGCCGAAACTCATTTGGGAAGTGCCAATCCCTTTATTTACGTGATGGCCGAACACCCCCCACCCCCCTCCCCCGCCTTCCACCCTCACCCAGCTTGCGCGACTGCGTCCACCTGAGTGATATCTGTCTGTTTGAAACTGACGAGAAAAAATGTCTTAAGCCATCAGCGGCATTCGGCACGGCGTCATCTCAGTTCGGCAAGAGAGCGGTCCCACACGGCACAAGCATTAAGCTGATACATGTTTGGTACAGCTGCAAACTAGTTCGACATAGTAGCCAGGTAGTGGCAAGTTTAGAACAAAGCAGGCCAATTTGGCAGAATATACCGAGCGCACGTGAGGCGTGTTCTCAAGAGAATCGTTCAAGCATCGCTTATGTGACGCAGATGTGTTTGCGCCATTACGTACTCAGGGGGGGGGGGGGGGCGATTACACAGCAAAGCTGCCCTTTGCCATCCTCGTCAAACGTAGCAACTAAACAGGATGAGACCACGTTAAAGACAGTATTGGACGTTGCCAAAAGCTCCATGACGCAAAAACGCCGGCTGACCGATGGTGCCAAAAATCTCCTGCATTTTCGACATCAATACCGGCTGTTATTGGACCACGATTTTTAAAATTTCAAGTTGGCATCTTGGTCGCTGGTAAGAACCTTGACCCTTTTTTGGCCGTTTTTTGGCGCGACATCACCTGATCGATAGCCCTGAGCATGAAGAGAGGGGGGACAAGACTCCCAGCACGTGACCTGCAAAACTGGCGCTATCTTTAACCTCTAGCAGACATTGGGGTTTCGGGTCTTGTCGACGAAGACAGACATCATGTGAGGCCAATCATTACATATTTTATGGAGTTTTAGAATAAGGTACCAATCCTAGATAGAGTTTGATCTTTCTGATACAATAATGTATTTAATGTAGACAATAATGTATTTCTCTCCCGTCTGTTTGCATGACGCCTTAAATTGTCACGCATAATTCGTGCCGCATCGTAGCAAGTACCACATTGCGTCATGTGACGAAACAGGCTGCATGTTGAAGCAGTTGAAGCATCTTATATATTCAGTGTGCAAGTCACCGAGGACATAGAAGTTTATGCCGAACATATGCCAGAATTACTGTGGCCGCGAAGTTGCTCACCGAGATGCCCACGGATGACCCGGTGCCGATTTTGGCTTTGTTCTGCATGTGTAACCGCTAGAGGAGGTGCAAAAGGACCATGCCCGCAGTTGCTCACGGGGATGCCCATAGATAGCCCGGCGCCGACTTTGGCTTTGTTCTGCATGTGTAACCGCTAGGGGGAGGTGCAAAAGGGCCATACCCACAGATTTCCCAAACAGGGATTTTGTCCCCTATTTTTGTCTGTACCATTCACTTTTCACGTTTTCATAAGGCTGCGAAAGAGGTGTGAGTGATAACCATGCGTACAGCTTTCCATCTGCTTGAGGAGACACGTGCCTCCAAATGTTCCCGAACTTTTTAACATGGGGCCTACAGTCTTTAAATAGCAACCAATGTTCAAAAATATTATGCACCCTGTCTCAGTCCTATCGAGCATTTCATTACTACGACTCTGGTGATAAAACATCCTCGCTGGCTTTAAGCAGTCTTAAGAGGCCGACGTTATTAACCTGCTGGGCCACATTCACCAACTTTAAACACGTCAGTTGGCGAGCGCCCACTGATCACATTATAGCGTTGCCTTCCCCAAAATCTAACCGACGCGAGCGAGAATGTAAGCAAACACAAATCTAAATTCAGGGTCAGCATTTCGTGATGCGTCGCAAAATATTCTGCAAAATACTCTGCTTTGAGTGACGGCCATCATGGATCGAACGCTCCAGCCATGAGCGCCAGCGTGAGCTCCAGTGTCATGAACCCCTCCCCTGGGCCGTTAGATAGGCGGTCCGGCCGCCCGGCCGCCGTACCGTAAAGCTGAGAATGCTGCCGATCAGACTGCCTTCGTCGTAGCGGCCCAGTTTGGCGATGACAGCCTCCAGCACGGAGACAAGCTTGGCCACCAGTCCGGTCACCATGCCGGAGAGGGTCCGCTCGATCAGATCGTCGATCTTGGTGTGGTACTGGTGCTGGGGGCGGGCGGACGGGATCGTCAGGCGTGTCTGCCGGCCTGACACAGACGGCAGGCGGCAGTCCGGAGGACGGGTCATGGTGTGGTACTGGTGCTGGGGGCGGACGGGCGGGAATGCGGGCATGTCCAGCCGCAGCGGGGCCGACCGACCAGATACAGACGGCCGGCGGCGGCCCGGTGGACCAGTTCGCGTACAGGAGGCCGATGTGAAGGGCGATGTGTCAGTGACAGCGGAGGGGAAAGACAGAGTAATGCGCACGGTGAAACGAAGGCAACGAGGGTCGGCAAACCGGCGAGGTTGGCGGACATGAAGCGAGATGATGAACAATCTCCTCGCTTGTTTTCGGCAAGAATATCGCATGCATTACTGATATTGGAATACTTAAAACAGGAGCATGGATACTTATATATATATATATATATATATATATATATATATATATATATACATACATATATATACATATATATATGTATATATATATATACATACATATATATACACATATATATATATATATATATATATATATATATATATATATATATATATATATATTTACACGCCAACAATTCAAAACCATGATTTTACATGAGCATTAAGAGATTACGTAAGTTGTTCCGTGCATTTACGAGCAACTTTATTCACATAGATCAGGTAGCAGTAAAAGTTTCATTCCTCGGAGAATACCAGGAGAATGGAGATACAGGTGGGTTAATATTTCTGCAACATAGCCTTTATCGAAACAATAGCAGAAGTAATTTCAATGTTGCCCGCCGATGATCCTACCCAATTTTTCAGTTTTTTTTTTAACAGCAAGCCACAGTTTTTACAGGACATCAATATTCAGGGTATTAAACAAAGAACGATTGGCAGCCATTACTACAACACGGTGCCTATCCAATAATTGAAACACGCGAGCATGCGTGCACATATATAATTATTAGATATCCACTGTATCGCGGTAATGGCTAGCAATCGCTCTTTGTTGAATCCCCTGAATGTTGGTGTCCTGTTAAAACTGTGGCTTGCTGTTTCAAAATATAAAATCTAAAAAAGTTGAGCAGGATTATCGGCAGGCAATTTTAAATTGGCATCTGCTATTGCTTCGATAAGGCATGTGGTCAAAATATCAACCCATATGTATTTTCATTTTCCAAGTTTTTCTCCGAGGGATAAGGCTGTTACTATTGTCTTATCTATGCACAATGAGAAAGTCGAATGTGCGGGCAGGAGAGGGAATTTACAAAATCAACAGCGTAGCAGAGTGAGAACAAGACAACGCGACTTAATTGGAAATACGAGTCCCTTATATGCATATACATGTTCACATATATCACCTATCTACAACCGCTCAAACGGCACGATGACAACACAAAGATCGAATACTTCAGACCTTATGTTCACTCAAAAATGAAACATTTTGGACGCATGTCGTCATGAGCGTAAGCGATCTGTCGTTCCAGACATCTACGGCGAGAAAAAAATATTGTGCGGTGCATACAACAGTCACAAGACAACCAGACATCTTCCTTATGTTGGCTGTCCTGCTGACAAGAACTTCCGCTCCAACCAGACGTCTATTAACCGGAGCAAGTCAAAAATAACTGCAGAGAACGCGACCACACGCGCGAGCTGGCGGTGGAAGCGGCCTAAGGACAGGGTCAATGAACGGCCGAGAATGAAATATGACCAGGCTTAAGTGGCAAAAATGGCGGCTGGAGGCGGTTGTCAGTTTAAGCATCACACAAGGAAAATTTAGCACGGTGAACAGTGACGCTCACTAACTCGGAAAGCTGCGGTCCACAGAGACGCGAATTTCAGGCATAATTTCCTTGAATCATTTAGCCGGCAAAGAGCATGGCAGCATTTGAGTTCGAAATTAAACACAACTATAACATAATAAAATGCACTTTAAGCAAGATGCATTTTGTGCCTTAAAATGCGAAAATTGTCAGCTTTGGCACAATGCAATTTGACACCTATTTTCACCCAAGAATATACGCCTGATAAGCGTGTACGTACACTTGCACGGACTAGTCTGGTGCCTATGTACCAGTGTATGCGCATAAGAAATGTAAAATACAAAGATGCAAGGATTTAAGCACATATGCATGTATGCAAGGAAACATTTTTTAATAGCAACTCATATTTTCAGCTGCCATCGCGCTGACTGCACCCAATTATAATTATTGTAAACCTGTATTAACTTGGTAGGCAATGTCATAAGGGCGCGCTGCATTCGCTCGCGCCAAAAATCGGCCGTCGGCCGTCCGTTTATGAGAAGAGAACACAAACACGGATCGTCTTCCCATTAGTTCGCATCTTAGCTTTGCGGAAGCGCACTGTCAGTTGACTGAAGACGGTAATCCCGTCTTAAGCCGCGGCCCTAAAAATCACAGCGGTGTCCTCTTCCCAAGTGACGGCCTCTTGCCGATGCTCAGTTCACTGTGGACGCTTCTCCAGACGCAAAGTACCACAATAACGACCACCCATTCATCTCCCAGCTTAGAAAAGACTCTGTCCCACCGTTGGCGGCCTCCTGAGACTGCAAAGTTCGCCACCATCTCCCCGGTGACTCTCAAACTCTTGCCCAAGTCCCAACACAACTCTGCCCACTTGCCGAAATGCATGACCGCTTGGGGACGTCGGGCTGCTCAAGGTCGCTAGCCACGCCCACACAAGCATACTCGAACTGTACTGCAAGGTTCCCCGCCGCATTTCCGGGGGAACGAGCAGTGCGATATTTTCCCATTCCTCCCGAAGTGTTTGGAGAGGATGGGAGCAGGTGATGCGCCAGCAGCGTGCGATTGTTTTCTGCCGCCCTGAGCCTTCAATGCACGAGGCCACTCACCAGCCGCCAGGGCACTTCTCCGTTACACGCTCGGTAGTCTTCCCGAGAGACGCTCGGAGTACCGCCGTCAGGCCTCGCGGCTCGGTAGGTTCCAGCTAACACTTAAGCGGCGCACTTGTCCGCACAGCAACGTAGTCTGTCGGACCCGCTCGCTGCGCACAGACGCTCAACCCCCACACCATAATCCTTGGACTGATGGTGCTTAGATAACTAGTTAGGAACCCCCACCACCGCATACCAACAAATTTGTGCTCTTGCTCGCAAAGCTGTGATGCATGTTTTGTGGACTTCGACACAGCTAAGCGATGTCATATGCCTGAAGCTTATAGATAGACCCGGAACATGCACTTTCATTGAACGGCTCACTACTGGACTAAACCGACAATGGCTTCCGTTTCTGCGGAATGGAAATCCAGAATGCTCACCACATCCACGCCATCGACGGCGCAGAGCTTCAGCGACTGGTTCTTGGCGTCCAGGATGACGTTGATCATGGCGCACATGTCGGTCGGCACGATGTAGTCGGTGGAGACGAAGCCGACGCCCTTCTTCAGCCACTGCTGGTACGCCTGGTCCGTCCTGGGCAGGGCGCGGCGACCCAGTCAGGCGAACATATCGGGAGGTATATTGACTGCATCAGGGGAGATCAGATCTCCGGGGTTCGACCGAGGGCGATTGACGCCCTTTTATTTCAATCATACGCGAGCGACGGACATGGTCATTCTTGGGGTCTGGACCGTCGTACCACCTGGGAATGCAAATATAATCTTTATCACCGACAACGACGGTAACAGCGTCCATGCTAAGATCGGAACCGCTCTGCGTTGCTGCTTCCGGGTCTGTTCAACTGAGGGGATAGTTCCTGGAGAATTTCCAGGATTGACACAAATGTAGCCTGCATGTGAAAACTCTGTATACGATGCTCGAACCTGGTGTGACCCACACCATTACCTCCCGTGGTAATGGTCTGCGCGCTCATGACGCGTGCGTTGATCCTCAAGTCCTCCGCGTGCCGTGGCATCCCACCCGGGTCGATCAATATATGCCGGTCAGACGACACTCCTCGGGCGTCTGGCCCGCCTGCGGTCAGCTCCCGCCGCTGCTGACGCGGCTAGCTCCTCACCCCCGTATACAGCTCTCAGGGACCTCAGCTTCGTATACAGCTCTCAGGTGCCTCACCTCTGTAAACAGCTCTCAGGCACCTCACCTCTGTATACAGCTCTCAGGTGCCTCACCTCTGTATACCGCTCTCAGGCACCTCACCTCTGTATGCAGCTCTCAGGCGCCTCACCTCTGTATGCAGCTCTCAATCATGTCGCAGGCCATACGCTTCAGCCGCTGCTCCAGGTGAGAGCCGAACTCGGCGTCCGGCCAGTGGAGGTCCCGGATGAACGCCTGCAGGGCGTCCAGCTTCCAGAACAGGTCCTCCGACGTTGAGCAGCCGTTCCTGCCGCAGCAGAAGCGCATGATGTCGGGACGGCCGGCGGGTGAGCTGATGGCTCGGACCCATGCAAGCCGCTGGTCAGTAAGGTATGGCTGTACCTGCTGCCTAGCTCCATCGTGTCCTGTAGTTCTCCTAACACGAGCACCCGAGAGATATCACCGCTGACACGTCTGTCAGCAGTGAAAATCCCCGGAACGCAGTATTTCGCGCTGTACTTAAGACAGCCTTTTAATTATTATGCAAGCACATCACCGCCGTTGGCGCCATTTCTTGACACGATTTATGCATATTCTGTGAAAGCTTTCTAAGATGTCAGGAACATATGGCTGCCGCACTTGGAGCTGAGCGCTCATAACTGCTCGCCCACGAACAGCGCTAGATTTCCCTTCACAGCAATCCACCCCACCCACGCGGCCGGAAAGCTCTCGGAATATAATTCTCATCATAGAAACGCTGTCACCCCCCCCCCCCCCCCGCCCCCCACGCCTTAATGCTTTAACCTGTCGGCAACTGGCACCTGTTCCTGACACTTCAAGGAATGGAGTAACTTTATGGTTAGATGCCACTTCCAAAAGGGAAAGATCATCAGCTGAAGACGCACTGCGACTCGGCAGCAATCTGACCAAGTGCGAGAGGAAGCCTACCCTTTGAGCTCCCATCGCTCTCTCTCGAAGCCCTTGTGGATGGACTGAGCGATGGAGGACTCCATGAGGTCGACGTAGCGCACCACGATGGGGGCGAAGGTGTCCCGCAGGTGCTGATGGAACCTGCCGTTCTTCAGGTTGTCTGCGGACGGAAAAACACGTGAGTGACTTGCTGAGAGGTCTTCGCCGGATGACGCCCGAACGTGGCGAGTTACGCGCGTGTTGTCGAGTCGGAAGCGTGTCGTCACTTAATTGCTTTCAATTTCTGGTTCCGTAAGGCTCTGGAGAAAATGTGGAGAACTGGATTGGCGTCTGAACTATGTTAACAACACGCAGGTTACTAGGAGGTTGCAGTTGCTATGTTCGCAAGAATGTGGGTGCTAAACGCTGACAAATTTTAAAGACAATAAAGAAAAAGAACGCACGAAAAGCTTGAAAAACCTGAGAGAAGCCGGACAGGGAAATGAATGGCGATCTAGATCACACCAAGTGCTCGAGCTTTTGCGAGCTACTCGGTATTTGCTGGCATCTCTAACTCCCAGCAAGGGCACACAACCAAGCAGATTTTGCCTGCTATAGCTTTTCGTTAATAAATGCGTGGGCGAAAGGAGCCAGCTTCAGTGTGTTGACATTTTAGCTTGCGAATCCCGTGTAGGCGTTAAATATGATGCTTGAGATATGTTAGATGTGATAAATTAAATTTGATGGGCCGTCATTTTACCATTCAGCAGGCGAAGGTCGCGCAGTATTTCGCAGTGTAGAATGTTTCTGTCCCGGTCAGAGCTTCGACGAAAATATTCATTTGTTATATCTGCTCAATCGAAGCAGATGTGCATAAATGAAGCAGGGTGCCGCGATAGACTAATCAGCAGCAACACCTAATCCAAGCTTCAAACGAGTATTTGCTGGCGGATCTGGTTCGTGGGCGTCTATGTGGGCGATTGATGCGGGTCAGATGCGGATGAGATGCGGATGCGTGGTAAGGCCAGCCAGCCTATTTATAACATATTTAAATTCCGCAAGAGCTAACGGTGCATCTGAAGACAACCAGTAGCTAACCAAGGAATTTATGTTGACAATGAATAAGAATTCCTCAAATATTTATGTCAAATTCGCATTACAAAACATTGGAAACACCTTATTCGTGAACACGATGCAAAATGGTTATTTGACCCCATCTGCTGTTTTCTGTTGGCTGTGTGACATGTGTCAAAAACGTTTAATGTCTTCCAAAACGAACCCGATGCGTAGCGATAACGACACGCACATGTGACGTAACTGTCCAGGTTGAACAAAGCCGTCGCGCTGTCGCTTGTGATGTAAATGTCTAGGTTGTACAAACTCGTCGCGTCCTCACATGGCTAAGCAGACAAATGCTCAGCTTATCGAACGACGAACACATACGCACGGACATCTACCGCTCCCATCATCTCTCCCCCCCCCCCCCCGATACATGCATCCCACCCCTTCTCCCGGCCAAGCCCCTCAGCCGGAGGTGACGGAACCTCCCGGCTCGGCCGCGCAGCTGAGCACACCAGTATGGGCCTCCGTTTCGGTCCGGCCCCAGTAGAGTTTTCCTCGAACGGCTCCTATCCGGGGATAGCAACACCTGGGTAGCGATCACTCCGCAGCGGAAATAACTCCGCGCCATCCGGCGCTCGCGCCAGTCGTCTCGCGGACGCTTCCTGCCTTTGAATAGATCCTCAGGTTCAGGAAACATTTCCAAGTCGCCCTGGGTCACCGAAGCAATCGTGAGACTATGGAGCTCGATATGTCGCGATGGGCCCGCTGTGTGTCCGCTCTACTACGGGGATTCCGTGGGATCAGGATTGTCCCGGGAGAGTGGCGCAGACAGTTGCCCGTGCAGTGTGCGGTGTGCCCATGAACGTTTGCATGAGTTTCTTTCAATGAAGTACCACATAAAACCCTTGCGGTAACGCACCGTCAATATAAAAAGGGAAAACGAAGCGCATGACATGAATTTAAGGTTGACTGTAGCCGTCTGGGAAGCGATCTGACTCAATGCTCGCCAGTTGTCGGCCACAGATCTGACCCGATCCCTACCCATCCCCGGCCACAGATTTGACCCGATCCCTACCCATCCTGGCCACAGATCTGACCCGATCCCTACCTATCCCGGCCACAAATCTGACCCGATCCCTACCCATCCCCGGTCACATATCTGACCCGATCCCTACCCATCCCGGCCACAGATCTGACCCGATCCTAGCCCATCTCCGGTCACAAATCTGCCCAAGCCCCTGCCCATCCCCGGCCACAGATCTGACCCGATCCCTACCCATCCCGGCCACAGATCTGACCCGATCCCTACCCATCCCCGGTCACATATCTGACCCGATCCCTACCCATCCTGGCCACAAATCTGGCCCGATCCTAGCCCATCTCCGGTCACAGATCTGACCCAGCCCCTACCCATCCCCGGCCACAGATCTGACCCGATCCCTACCCATCCCGGCCACAGATCTGACCCGATCCCTACCTATCCCCGGCCACAAATCTGACCCGATCCCTACCCATGCTCGGCCACAGATCTGACCCGATCCCTGTCCATCCCGGCCGCAGATCTGACCCAGCCCCTGCCCATCCCCGGTCACAGATCTGACCCGATCCCTGCCCATCCCCGGTCACATATCTGACCCGATCCCTACCCATCCTGGCCACAAATCTGATCCGATCCTAGCCCATCTCCGGTCACAAATCTGACCCAGTCCCTGCCTATCCCCGGTCACAGATCTGACCCGATCCCTGCCATCCCTATCCCCGTTCACATAGCTGACCCCGATCCTACCCATCCTGGCCACAAATCTGACCCGATCCTAGCCTATCTCCGGTCACAAATCTGACCCAGTCCCTGCCTATCCCCGGCCACAGATCTGACCCGGTCCCCGCCCGTCACCGTCACAGCCCACCGTCGGAAGCAAACGGCCGGAAGCGATTGCTGCGATGTTGACCGTCTGGTTCCCTCGCCATAGGCAGCGCTCATCGATCCGGTGTCCACAAGGAGCGCACTCTTTGCCATCGACACCGCTGCCGGGCTGGCAGCACTCACCGTCCGTGCGCAGGTAGTCGTTGAGTATCTGGAAGAGCGGGAACGAGTCCCAAGCGTCGGGCGGCAGTTCGGACAGCACCTGGTCCATGTCAACCGCGAACAGTGACCAGAAGATTTCGGCGTGCTCCACCAGCAGGTCGCTGAACCACGCGAACGCCTGTGAGCAGCGCGCCAGGTCAGGTCAAGCCAGAGGCTGGGTCGTGGGATTTGTGGGGAACAGCGAGGCCACCAGGACAGCCGTTAGGCCAAGAAGTGTTACCGCCGGGTCATGGGATAGGGGCACGTGAACCTGTGAAAAGGCGGGGTTGCGCCGGGTCAGTCGATCGTGGACCGCCTTTAGGATCGTCGGACCACTCAAGCAGGGTGGCGATCAACAGACCTCCAGATCCATTGAGCCATGACCGTGATTATATTAAAGTCAGGCCAGTTCAAAAGAATAGGCTGCCAGCAGCTGATCGGTTAGAGGTTGCACTGGGCTAAAAGTAGCTGTTATTCAACCCAGAAAACCTGACAACGCAGCTGGCGCGGCGGTCCATGTCAGGCAGCGAATGAGTGGGCGCGTCCAGACTTGGACTCACACCATGTACCGAGATTGTTTCTGCACGTGGTGAGATCACCATAGCGGCTCCGTTGATGAAACAGCTACGGTTGAGAACGGCAGAATCACTCGCAGGACTACAATAACGCCGGTAGTATGCCCCGGACAGTGACAGGGCGCTGCTCATTAAAAGCCCTGAGTTTGGGAGGGTGTGGTCACCCAGCTAAAGCTTTCCTCAGGATCGCCTGTCAAAAATAACGTTAAAATAACGCTGATAACGCCAAAATAACGCTAATCTGGCGAGATGCCTTCAGAAGGTGACGGACACATGCCAGTCGTTTTGTCGAGCATAAAGCGAGCCATAGGGGCAGCAGCTCGTGGTGAGATATTCGATAAGTAAATTGGAATCACCTGAGAGGAAGAGGGACAGAGACACTAAATTGTCACCACGAAGGGCAATTGCGGTGTCAGCCGACTTTATTTGCGTGAAGTAGTTTTTATTTAAATGTGATTTAAACCCCGCCATGTACACACAGGCTGACATGTGTGTGGCGTTCTCTTCAGAAAATTGGAAGCTGATGCTTTGAAATCTCTGTCGGCACGGACGGGAGTTAAGACAAGGACAGATGGCTGGCAGTAATGACAAAGAGGATGATACCATACAAAATGTGACTCAACCCACGCATTTGGTGACAATGTTACCGCCGCACACTCCGGCGCGGCAGCAAATTGGAGATGAGCAGCGTGCATGGCGGAGCACATAATGATAGAATACACCCCAAACGGCGCACAGTCCTGGAAACTCGACAAGATTGTCATGCCTTTTATTTCACATAAATACACTAAATCATCCCTACAACGTAGTCTGTAGTGCACGGGTAATAAATACGACTAAATCTCTTGAACATCACATTTCTATTATTCATTTCCTAAACATGTAATCATTAAAGACAGCTTCGTGATAAATGACACTGAAACGTAGTCCATCAGATTAGTTCATGCAGGGTTTCGAGCTTAGTGAAAGCAGTTCAGTATGCATGATGTGTAACAGGATGCCTTTCAAATCATGCGGATGCGCCCAGATATTAAACTTGTTGGTAAAATATCGTTCACGAAAGCTCACCAGCAAGGCGGAGTGTGGATACGTGGGCGGAATCAATGCCAAAATGCTAGGTATTGAGAGCGCACCTAGATAAAGTGGACCGGGAAAAGACGTTGTTTAAAAACGAAATGAAGCGATCGATTTTGATAACGCTGACGCGCAGTGTGACGCAATGTGCGGTCAGCTGTTTGTTATACTAGCGGGCCCTTGACAGGCGTCATGCGGTTTACGTCCACTTTATGACATTAGTCCTGAAGCTCGTTTGGTGTAGAAGAGACGCATAAAAACGGTCCTAAGGCTGTCAGAGCAGTCTAAATGCATGCAGCACGGAGCAGACATGGTCCATGCACCGAAGAAGTTTGTCCAGTGGAAGCGACAGAGTCCACAAGCTTTGCGCGATCTGGCACAGGCCGTCGCGTCTCCGTTTGACAGCCGTTGCTGGGCCCGCTGTCGCCGCATGCGACGGGGGAGGGGGGTGCAGCGGGAGGGGGGCGGAGCCCGCCGTCTCGCCAAAGCTGACGTGACGGGCACTGCAGAGCCAGGGGCACGAGCGGTGCGGAAAACGCATTCGGTAGACGTTGCCCAGCGTACTCACTTTGTCCTGATCATTTGGATGACAGCGGATAAGAACAGTTAGGTATACGGCGTCTAAAACCAGGTGGACAACCATGCTGCGGCGAACACTGATCGGATGAGGCGATTCAAGCCAATCGTATGAGGAAATTTCGCTGCGGTAACTGGAAAGTATGTGTGGCCATATTGCTGTTACGTTATAATTTCAATATGTACATCAACACAGGAGAAGGCCGACATGTTCGGTGGGACGGCAGCGAAGGCTGAAGCCGCCAGAGCGGTTATCCTGTGACATTGCCTGTACAATGAGCGAGTACTAAGGAAGAGCGACGCCGTGCGCACTCACCGTTCGAAAGGCCTAGCAACGCCACGAGGAGAAGAGACAACAGCTGGTGAGCGCACATGGACCGACAAGCATGCCCGGCAGCACAACACACCAGCTGCGGCGTACCACTCGCGCCCCTCCCTCGTCATCCCACATCCATCCACCGCGCCACCCACAGCCACGCCGATACAGAGAGGGAGGGCTACCTACACACGGCTAACAACAGGGCACGGCGGCGGGGTTACAGAGCGCTCTCGCCCCCTGAGGACGGGCGCCGGCCACCACGGCCGCACGCCGCCGCCCACGACCTCAGACAACTGCCACGGTTTGTTGCCGGTCAGCCAGCCTCGCTCCTGTCCACAGCGTACCCCACATGGCCCCGTCAGCTTCAGGTGGCAAGTCCCAGGGCGCGGCGTGGCCCGCGGCGGCGAGAGCGAGCCTCGGCGGGGGCGCGGCCGACGGTAAGGCTCGCAGCGCAGCGCCACAGCCGACGGCAAGGCTCGCAGCGCGACGGCGCCGTCTCGCCGGGCCGAGTCGGCCGTCTGGGCCCGGCGCCGATCGATGGCGTGGGAGGCATCGCCTCGGAGCCCGGCGGCGCGGGGTCAGCCACTCACCTCCGAGTACTGTTCGTTGTTCTGCTGCAGCAGGTCGACGCAGAGGTCGGCCAGGTGCGTCAGGTCCTCCAGCTTCTTGCTGGGTGGCACCGTCACCTCCCCAGTCAGCTCGTCTGGAGCGCAGGCGGCAAGGGATGTCGTCAGCCCCGGTGCGCGGTGGCCGCCGGTCACGATGTCGCGTGTCAGGTGAGGTCAGGTCACAGAGTCATACTAAGAACAGCGCGGGGAACGTCACTCGGCCGCACGGAGGGACGGCGAAGTACCGTTGTGGGCTCGGCGCTGGAACTGCCACGACATGCGTGGGCGTCATCGACGCCGCCAGCTTCGACGAATGACCAGGCCCGTTGAGCGTAACGGGTGTTTCCATAAAATCTTTCTGACAGTGATGATGACAGACTTTCACCAGATTCGACCACGTTAGGCAACTTTGCGCGAAGCTGTGGTGTAAGTGCGACCTAAAATTTAGGGACTGCACATTGAGCAACTACCAACGTCTCGAAGGCGTATCAGTTGGCTGACTTTCTGGGATTGTAATAATAGAGGCCACACCCGCAGAACAGGCTGACATGACCTAAACAACAGACATTACGGCTGAACCACGATCGAAATGAGGCGAGGCAATGCACACTTAACATGATCCAGGCAACAGTCGCAGATGACCGTCGGAACTGAACTGGACTTGCTGACATTCCGGACGGATCGTCAGATGTGACATTTGCAACAAGTGACACACACAAGTGCAATCTGGCATCCAGAAGCGCTTCAATTTTCTTCAAGCATACACACTACACTGCAGAACATTTCGAACATGCAGTTAAGCATGCAACCCACTCCAGGAATGTCCTGCTTCGTGCAAGCCAACAGAAACATTTGACCCGAAAACGAAGCCGGACAACCGGCTAAATGCAGAGAAATGCAAGGACAGACAGACGGACAGGTTCTGCCGGATTAGCGAAGCAACAAGACATAAAAACAAGATAAAAATAAGGTGTACAGAATGGAAAACTCGGAGTCCGATGGAGAGCAGTGGCTCGGCTGCATTGGAAACCAAGGTAAACCAAAAAAAACTGTTCATAAGTTAAACACTCGACTTACTGCTAAACGATGATAAGGAATATATTTGTCCGCTCGTGAAAATGGTATGCCAGGCAACTGCCACAACAAACGTGAAACACCCGTTAGATGGAATCCTCAGTCTGACCCAGTTGAACAAATTTCCTGCAGTGGTGTGATCATGCTACCCGCACTACGCAACCTCCGGTCCCATTTACCTGCCAACCCAGATCCAGCATCTGCACATGGACACCAAAGGGTAGTTAACACACACACACACATACCACTCTTATGTTGCCATACAAACTGATTTCGAGTGGTCAGTGGCAGTTGACTGAAACTTTGCAGCTTCATTTTGCCGCCGAGATGAAGCTGAACAAGATTACTACAGGACAGTGGTCAAGCTGGCGACCTACGCACAACCATGAACGAGCTATCTTGTTAGCATCTATTTATTTGTGGAAAATTTTGGCTGAAATCACTCATGTCATGAAGATAATGAATCCGAATTATGAGAATGTTATGAGAGCCACAGCCACCATATGGCGATGAAAATGCACGGCCCATAGCGTGTAGGTAACCAAAGCGCACACAAAAAGCTGCACAAATCGCCAGCTTTCCGCGACAATGAAACATCTGGTCATGAAAGATAAGAGACATCGTCAAGATTCCACCATAAGTGCAATGTGCATAGATTTCAGGCAAGCCGCTTCAACACCGAAACAGCCATAGCTCCAGCAGCGGCGTCAGCCGCACTCGGCGCAGCGAGTGCCACCGGCGCCCGCGCGCCGGGGGCCGCCATCGTCCGACGCCCGCGCGCCGGGGGCCAC